GTTGAGGTCATAAATCCATTTTGATCTTACTTTTGTGCATGGCATTAGGCAGAGAACTGAGCCCACTTTTTTGCATGTAGCCATCCAGTTTTGCCAGCTCAATTTATTAAAGAGGCTTTCCCTGCTCCATTTCACTTTCATTGCCCCCTTTTCAAAGATTAGATGATCATATGCTTGGCAGGAGATGTCATTATATTCAGTTCTGTTCCATTGGTCTGCAGCTCTGCTTTTGTTCCAGTACCATGCTGTTTTAATTATCACTGCGTTGTAGTAGAGCTTGAAGTTAGGCAGGTTGATTCCTCCCATTTTCTTTTTCCCAAGAATTGCTTTAGCTATTCGTGGGGGCTTATTGTTCCATATAAATTTCAGGAGTGTTTGCTTCATTTCTTTGAAGATTCTCATGGGTATCTTTATAGGGATTGCATAGAATTTTTACAGTGCTTTGGGAAGTATTGACATTTTGACAATGTTGATTCTTCCCATCCATGAGCAGGGAATATTTTTCCATTTCCTCGTGTCCTCTTTTATTTACAGAAGTAGCATTTTGCAGTTTTCTTTGTACAGGTCCTTTACTTCCTTAGTTAAACTGATTCCCAGGTACTTGATTTTCTGGGGCACAATTGTGAATGGGATTGTTTTCTTCATGTCACTTTCTTCTCTTTCACTATTTGCATATAGGAAAGCCATGGACTTTTGGGTATTGATTTTATAGCCTGCCACTTTACTATACAAGCCTGTAGTTTCTAGGAGTTTCTTGGGTTCTCTAAGTAGAGTATCATATCATCTGCGATTAGTGAGAGCTTAATTTCTTCCTTCATTAACCTGGATGCCCTTAATATCTTTTTCTTGCCTAATCGCTATTGCAAGTACTTCCAGTACTATATTGAACAGTAGTGTAGATAGTGGGCATCCTTGTCTCATCCCTGATCTTAGGGGGAAGGCTCTCACTTTTTCCCCATTGAGTATGATGCTTGCTGTAGGTTTGTGGTAGATGGCTTTAACTATATTGAGGAAAGTTCCTTCTATCCTCATTTTAGCGAGGGTTTTTATCATAAATGGGTGCTGGATCTTGTCAAATGCTTTCTCTGCATCTATTGATATGATTATATGATTTTTATCTTTTCTTTTATTGATTTGCTCTAGCGGGCCCAGTAACGTCTCCATTGGAGACTAGCACAGCGGTAGGGCATCTGCCTTACACGCAGCCAACACGGCCGACCCGAGTTCGATTCCTCCGCCCCTCTCGGAGAGCCCGGCAAGCTACCGAGAGTATTGGATATGCCAGACACAGTAACAACAAAGTCTCCAATGGAGACGTTACTGGGCCCGCTCGAGCAAATCGATGATCAACGGGAGGGCCTTTTACTGATATGATGGATTATGTTGATTGATTTCCGAATGTTGAACCATCCTTGTATCCCTGGGATGAATCCCACTTGGTCATGATGTATGATCTTTTTGATGAGTTGTTAAATTCTATTTGCTACTATTTTGTTCAGAATCTTGGCATCCGTATTCATCAGGGATATCGGCCTGTAGTTTTCTTTTCTTGTGGTGCCTTTGTTTCCTTTTGGTATTAGAAAAATATGGGCTTCATAGAAACTGTTTGGGAGAGTTTCTGTTTTTTCAATTTCCTGGAAAAGCTTGAGAAGGACTGGCAGTGGGTCCTCTTTAAATGTTTCGAAAAATTCGCAAGTGAATCCATCAAATAGAACTTTTTATGGAGAAAAACAGTGTTATTACCAGTGTTATTACCTGTAGACATTTTGGTTGTTGGCTGATTTATTCACTTTGGAAATTCAGGGTTTGGCTTCACACCCTGTAGCCTCACCTCCTACCTTCCTTCCCTTTCTCTCAGGCAATCACAGTTTTCCCAGACTATAAGGTTAGTTTTCCTGTTTAGTCCTTTGTTTCTACCTAAGAGGAAAACCGGCTACTAATTATCTTTCACTCCAAGGAAAAATATTGAATGAGAGGAAAAGCATCAAGAACTTTTGCCCTCCATCATGATGAAATTAGAAACCTGCTAGAACAGCCAATGTGTGGTTGTCGTCATGTGTAAATAGGAAGGCTGATGACAGCGAATAGAGTTTCGAAGCTTATTAACAAGCAGAGCATTGAGCTGGATAACACTGTAAATGGAGAGGGCAGTTCCCAGCAGCTCCCAAGGGTCCTGTATCCATTCTCAGTGCAAGTTGCTCCATTCTGGGGCTTGAAAGTGAGGTACTGCTGGACCTCCAGTGGCAGGGAGCACCTGTGCCAGCCCAGAGTGCCTGGGAGCCAAAGGACAGAATTGTTTGTGGAGAAGCTTGTGGTCCCAGGCACCTAATTGGTGTCGGGTACATGCAAGGCAGGCTCCCAGTATTTCCTTTGTAGTTTTATTTTTATGTGCACATATCCACATATGGATGTATAGAAATTTAATAGAGTGAGGGCAGGGAGAACCCAGTAAGTGTGATCATTAAAAGCACTTCAACAGAAAAATGTGTTGCAAGAAAATGCAATAGAATTGCAAGTTTAGACCCCAGAGTGTTACACAGAATTGCCTACACCCAGAGCACCCAGAATCTCTGTGGCTGACAATGGGACTTCACACCTAACCCCAAATGGCCAAAGGACAGAAATGGACTCATTTTTACTCTCCACAGACTGCATTTTATTGAAATGAACTGAATAGCAGAGAGATGAATTTCATCTAAATATTGACTTCTGATACTGACAGATTATCCATCCCTATGACCCGGTAAGAAATTTCTGGGTAGATAGGTGAGTTTCCTCAGGTTCTAGAAAGATAGGCAATATTGTAAAATGGAATGCAAAAAATGACAGATCTGTGGGCATAAAAAGAATCATATCTGCAATTGAGAATTGCAAAATACAAATATTTACATTATTTTAATTAAAAATAAGAATAGAAACTTCTATCCAGAAACATTTTGTGAAATAGAATGACCAGATTCCTATCAACATCCTTCCATTCCAGAAACATCTTTGTGGAGTCATATGATCCCTTCCCTATCATTTACATTTAATTCCGTACCTTCCACTCTTCACGGCACTCACAGCAGACTCAGCCCTGGAGAACAAGAGTTTTTATATTATTATTATTATTACTATTATTATTATTATTATTATTAGTTTAAGAGCCACAACTGTTGGTGGTTAGGGCTCACTCCTGGCTCTGAATTCAGGAATTACTCCGGTGTTGCTTGGGGATCTTATGGGATGCCGGGGAATGAACCCAGATTAGCCTCATGCAAAGCAAGTACTCTCCCGGCTGTGCTATCACCCTGGCCTACCCGGCACTTTTACCTCCTGGGACTTAACCACAATCATGTCACATCGTGCAGTTGAGCCTCACTACTCCCTCTGGTCCAGCTACGGTGCCTGTCCTCTTGGTCCTGGCTGGGCACTGGCTGGCTGGATCCAGTGTCTTTGCTCACAAGTCTGCAGCCTCATCTCCTACCTTCCTTCCCTTTCTCTAGGGAATCACAGAATTTTCCCAGAGTCTGAGGTTAGTTTTCCCCTCTGGTCCTTTGTTTCCACCTTACTGTAAAACCAGTTGGCAATCTTTTTTCATTCCAAGAAAAAAACTCGAGAAAGAAGAAAAAGCATTAGGAACATTTTCTCTCAAGCATGACCAAATTAGAAACCTCCCACAAGAGCCACTGTGCTCTGTAGTGACAGGTAAATAGGGAGGCTTATGACAGTGAATGGAGTTTAGAAGCTTATTTACAAGAGGGATGATGAATGAAGGACACTTTGGAGGGAGAGGGCTGTTCACAGCAGCTCTCAAGGGACCTACAACCATTCCCAGAGACTCTCTCACACAGGGGCAGCTGCTCCATTCTAGGGCCTCAGGGTCCATGCACCTATGGCCCTCCAGTACCAGGGAGCACTTTAGTCGTAGTTTTATTTTTATGTGCACATATGTGCAGATGTCTGTATATATGTTTGGTGTATTGAGGCCAGGAGAACCCAGCCACTGCTGAATGGACCCCTGTGTCACTCTCATGATGTTCTGTAAAGCACAATTACTGTTCAGAGCTAGGGCCCCAAAAGAGGTGCCCCTAGGATCATGTCATGTGGGGATGAGAGATTCTGTCTGGCCATGTTTGAGAGACCCTAGGGTTCACTGGCAATGCTCAGAAACCAACTGTTGCAAGGGACCAAATCTATGAGGAGGCAAAGTGGTCTTTTGCATGCAGGCAACCCAAGCTCTGGTTCTGCGCAGCTGGTTCCCAGAAAGCCATGAGAACAGGGCTGGGAGTGGCTATCCACATCACTGAGAGTGGCCTAAGAAAAAAATCTCGAAATTTCCAAATATCATGGGTAAAAGAATAAAAAGGAAACAAGGTCAGTTTCATCCACAACACATCACCTAACAACTCTTAACATATGCCCAAGCCTCCTGTACTTTGATTTCTTTTCATCTTTGTCTGAGGATCCTCCATTGTTGTCATTTGTAACATTGAAATGGCAATGCTAAAATGCATAATGTTTAAAAACCAATATCCATTCTCTTTAAATAGACCTAATGAATTGAGATGGTTATCACTACACAAAGCCTCTCACATTTATAATAAGTGCTGATTCTGCTCTCTCACCCAAAATTCACAGATAAGACTGATTTATCAAAAAAAAAATTCTATTCAACAGATTTCATCTTGTCTTGCAGTCAGCCAGAAGAAGTCAGAGGCTATGGATAATTTCACCACAAGTGGGTTTCTTCTCATGGGATTTTCATCTAAACCTGAGCAAGAACTCTTTTATGCTTCTCCGTTCTTGGTCTTGTACTTGTTGGCTTTAACTGGCAACAGGCTCATCATCACCACATCTTCCCTGGATGATAGTCTCCAGTCCCCCATGTATTTCTTCCTGAAGCATCTCTCCTTGTTGGATCTTTCTGTATTTCTGTGATTGTGCCGATTCATTTACAACTCTTTTATGCACAGTGGGAATATATTTCCTTCTGAGAATTCACAGTGCAGTGCTTTGCGTTAGTCATCTATGCAATTGCCGAGATGGCCATACTCATGGTAATATCCTATGACCACTACATGGCCATCTGCCTGCCCCTGTGCTATGAAATCATCATAAATGTCAGAACCTGTGTCCATGGAGTCATCAGTGTCTGGGTCAGTGGGGCCATCTCTGGAGTCATGCATGTGGCAGCTACTTTCTCCATCCACTTCTGTGGTCCCCGTGTCACTCACCAGTTCTTGTCTGATATCCCCCGGATCCTGAAACTCGCTTGCTCCAGTGAGTATCTGGGTGAGATCAGTGTCATGGCAATCATGACTTTGATATCATTTCTTTGTATCATCTTTATTGGGTTCTCCTATGTGCACATATTCTCTTCTGTACTGAGGATGCCATCTGCGGAGGGCAGAGACAAGGCCCATTCCACTTGCCTCCCCCACTTTACTGTAGTCATATTGTTCCTTTCTACTGGTACCTTCATTTATTTCAAAATTAGAATAATAAATACTGATAAGTTAACAAGTGATAACTTATGCAGACAAGTATTACGACCCCAAATGTGCATGCCCTCTATGAAAGAGCAAATTGTTTTATTTAATTAATTAATTTTATTTGCTTTTTGGGTCACACCCGGTGATGCACAGGGGTTACTCCTGGCTCTGCACTCAGGAATTACCCCTGGCGGTGCTCAGGGGACCATATGGGATGCTGAGAATCGAACCTGGCCAACCGTGTGCAAGATACCCTATCCGCTGTGCTATTGCTCCAGCCTCCAAAGAGCAAATTATTTAACAAGTTTTTTTTTAAATTTTTTATTTTTTCCCTTTATTTTAGTTATTTATTTTTTTTACAGTTGTAGATTTACAATTTTTTGTGCTTTGGTTTCAATTATACAATGATCAGATACCCATCCCTCCACCAGTGCCCATTTTCCACCACCATGGATAATATCCCTCCCACCCCTATCCCCCATCCCCCCTGTCTCTGTGGCAGGGCGATCCCCTGTGTTCTCTCTCTCCTTTTGGGTGTTGTGGTCTGCAAAAGAGGCATTGAGTGGCAAACATGTTCAGTCCATAGTCTACTTTCGACATGCATCTCCCCTCCTGGGAGGATCCTCCAAACATCCTTTATTTGGTGCTCCCTTCTCTATCTGAACTGCCCTTTCCTCTAGGATACCTGGCTGGCCTCTAAGTTATGGAGTAATCCTCCTGGTGCTGATCTCAGCTATTCTTGGGTATTAATCTCATACTTTGTTACTTTATATCCCCCAGATGAATGCAATCTTTCTATGTCTATCCCTCTCTTTCTGACTCATTTCGCTTAGCATGATACTTTCCATATTGTACCACTTGTATGTAAATTTCATGACTTCATCTTTTCTAAGAGCTACATAGTACTCCATTGTGTAGATGTACCAAAGTTTCTTTAACCAGTCATCTGTTCTTGGGCATTCAGGTTTCTTCCAGTTTCTGGCTATTGTAAAGAGTGCTGCAATGAACAAACAAGTGCAGATGTCACTTCGACTATACATTTTTGCCTCTCTGGGATATATTCCCAGGAGTGGTATTGCTGGGTCAAATGGGAGCTCAATTTCTAATTTTTTGAGAATCGTCCATACTGTTTTCCAGAAGGGCTGAACCAGTGGACATTCCCACCAACAGTAAAGGAGTGTCCCTTTCTCGCCACATCCCTTTCTCGCCACATCCACGCCAGCATCGGTTGCTTTTGTTCTTTTGAATGTGGCCAGTCTCTGAGGTGTGAGATGGTATCTCATTGTGGTTTTGATCTACATCTCCCTGATGATTAATGATGTAGAGCATTTTCTCATGTGCTTTTTTGCCATTCGGATTTCTTCTTTGAGAAAGTTTCTGCTCATTTCATTGCCCCATTTTTGGATGGGGTTGGATGTTTTCTTCTTGTGGAGTTTAACCAGTATTTTGTATATCCTGGATATCAACCCCTTGTCAGATGTGTATTCGGTGAATATCTTTTCCCATTCTGTAGACTGTCTTTGTATTTTGGTCACTGTTTCTTTGGAGGTGCAGAAGCTTCTTAGTTTAAGATAGTCCCATTTATCTATCTCTGTTTTCACTTGCTCGGCCAGTGGCGTGGCATCTTTGAAGATACCATAAGCTTCAATGTCATGGAGGGTTTTGCCAACTTTGTCTTCAATGTACCTTATGGTTTCTGGTCTGATGTTGCGGTCTTTAATCCATTTTGATCTTACTTTTGTACATGGTGTTAGGCAGAGTTCTGAGCCTATTTTTTTGCATGTAGCCGTCCATTGATGCCAACACAATTTATTAAAGAGGCTTTCCTTACTCCACTTCACATTACTTGCACCTTTATCAAAGATTAGATGAGCATATGATTGAGGGGAGATGTCAGTGTATTCAACCCTGTTCCATTGGTCTGCAGTTCTGCCTTTGTTCCAGTACCATGCTGTTTTAATTATTACTGCTTTGTAGTACAGTTTGAAGTTCGGGAGGTTGATTCCTCCCATTTTCTTTTTCCCAAGAATTGCTTTAGCTATTCGTGGGGGCTTATTGTTCCATATAAATTTCAGGAGTGTTTGCTCCATTTCTTTGAAGAATGTCATGGGTATCCTTATAGGGATTGCATTGAATTTATACAATGCTTTCGGTAGTATTGCCATTTTGACAATGTTAAGTCTCCCGACCCATGAGCAGGGGATATCTTTCCATTTCCTCATGTCCTCTTTTATTTCCTGAAGTAGCGTTTTGTAGTTTTCTTTGTACAGGTCCTTTACTTCCTTAGTTAAGCTGATTCCTAGGTACTTGATTTTCTGGGACACAATTGTGAACGGGGTTGTTTTTTTCATGTTGCTTTCTTCTCTCTCACTGTTTGCGTATAGGAAAGCCATGGACTTTTGGGTATTGATTTTATAACCTGCAACTTTACTATATGAGTCTATTGTTTCTAGGAGTTTTTTGGTGGAAGTTATTGGGTTCTCTAAGTAGAGTATCATATCATCTGCGAATAGTGAGAGCTTGATTTCTTCCTTTCCTATCTGAATGCCGTTAATATATTTTTCCTGCCTAATCGCTATTGCAAGTACTTCCAGTACTATATTGAACGGCAATGGAGAGAGTGGGCATCCCTGTCTCGTCCCTGATCTTAGAGGGAAGGCTCTCAGTTTTTCCCCCGTTGAGGATAATGCTTGCTGTAGGCTTGTGGTAGATGGCTTTAATTATGTTGAGGAAGGTCCCCTCTATACCCATTTTGGCTAGGGTTTTCATCATAAAGGGGTGCTGGATCTTATCAAATGCTTTCTCTGCATCTATTGATATGATCATATGCTTTTTATCTTTTCTTTTGTTGATATGGTGGAGTATGTTGATTGATTTCCGAATGTTAAACTATCCTTGCATCCCTGGGATGAATCCTACTTGGTCATGGTGTATGATCTTTTTGATGAGTAGTTGGATTCTATTTGCTAGTAGTTTGTTGAGGATCTTTGCATCTGTGTTCATCAGGGATATCGGCCTGTAATTCTCTTTCTTTGTGGTATCTCTGTCTGCTTTTGGTATCAGTGTGATATTTGCTTCGTAGAAACTGTTCGGAAGTGTTTTTGATATTTCAATTTTGTGGAAAAGCTTAAAGAGGATTGGGAGTAAGACCTCTTTAAAGATTTGGAAGAATTCACTAGTGAATCCATCCGGACCAGGACTTTTGTGCTTGGGGAGACTTTTTATTACCATTTCAATTTCCTTGATGGTGATAGGTCTGTTCAGGTAATCCAGGTCTTCTTGGTTCAGCCTTGGGAGTCTATAGGAGTCTAGGAATTTATCCATTTCCTCGAGGTTTTGATGTTCCGTGGCATAAAGCTTCTCAAAGTACTCCCTGAGGATCCTCTGAATTTCTGTGGTTTCTGTTGTAATGACCCCCTTTTCATTTCTGATTCGGTTTATTAGGGTTTTCTCTCTCCCTTTCTTTGTGCGTTTTGCTAGGGGCTTATCGATCTTGTTAATTTTCTCAAATAACCAGCTTTTGGTTTCATTGATCTTTCGGATTGTTTTTTGGGTTTCCATCTCGTTAATCTCTGCTCTGAGTTTTATTATTTCCTTTCTCCTGTTCGGGTTGTGCTCCTTTTTTTGGTCCTTCTCCAAGCTCTTAAGCTGTGAGGTTAGGTTACTTATGTGTGCTCGCTCCTCCTTCCTGAGGAATGCTTGTAGAGCTATAAACTTTCCTCTTAACACAGCCTTTGCTGTGTCCCATAAGTTTTGGTAACTCGTGTTCTCATTTTCATTCGTTTCTAGGAATCTTTTGATTTCCTCTTTGATTTCCTCTCTAATCCACTCGTTGTTCAATAGTGCACTGTTTAGTTTCCAGGTGTTTGATTTAGTTTTCTGTTTTTGTGTGTGATTTACATCTAATTTCAGCGCATTATGGTCTGAGAAGATTGTTGATGCAATCTCTACCTTCTTAATTTTATGGAGGCATGTTTTGTGGCTCAGCATGTGGTCTATCTTGGAGAATGTTCCATGTACGCTTGAGAAGAATGTGTATTCAGCTTTTTGTGGATGAAGTGTCCTGTATATATCTACTAAGTCCCTTTCTTCCATTGTTTCCCTCAAATGAAGTATGTCCTTGCTAAGCTTGAGTCTGGTTGATCTATCAAGAGGTGACAAAGCAGTGTTGAAGTCTCCCACTAGTATTGTGTTGCTATTGATGTCTTTTTCCAAATCTATGAGTAGTTGTTTTAAGTACTTTGCTGGTCTCTCATTAGGTGCATATACATTTATTATTGTAAGTTCTTCCTGTTGTACAGATCCTTTGATCAATAAGAAATGGCCTTCACTGTCTCTTACGACCTTCCTCACTCTGAAATCGATGTGGTCTGATATAAGGATGGCTACCCCAGCTTTTTTATGGGAGCTGTTTGCCTGTAGGATTGTTTTCCAGCCTTTGACTCTGAGTCTGTGTTTGCTTTGACTATTGAGATGCGTTTCTTGCAGGCAGCAGAATGTTGGGTTCAATTTTCTAATCCATCCTGCCACTCTATGTCTTTTAATTGGTGCGTTTAGCCCATTGACATTGAGAGAGATTATTGTTATGGGATTTTGTCCCATTGTTCTGTTAAAATTTGGTGTATTTGAGGGGCCTTTCTTGCCTTAAAGTAGCCCATTTAGTTGTTCTTGTAACCATGGTTTTGAGTCTATGAAGTTCCTGAGCTGTTGTTTTTCTGTGAAACTGTGTGTTGTGCCTTCTATTATGAATGAGAGTCTTGCTGGGAAAAGTATTTTTGGGGAGGCATTTATTTCATTGAGTTTTTTTACTATGTCCCACCACTGTTTTCGGGCCATGAGGGTTTCATCAGAAAAATCAGCTGTGAATTTTAAGGATGCTCCTTTGTAAGAGATTTCTTTCTTCGATCTTGCTGCTTTCAGAATTTTGTCTCTGTCTAAGGTTTTGGTCATTTTGATCAGAATGTGTCTTGGGGTATTTTTATTCGGATTTCTTCTAGCTGGTACCCTTCGGGCCTCCTGAATGTGGTCACAAGTTTTCTTCAGCTCTGGAAATGTTGTAGCAATGATTTCTTTGACAGTTTCTTCTTCATCGAGGTTTTCTTCCTGTACCTCTGGGACTCCAATAATTCTTATGTTACCCCTCTTGGCTTCATCACGATCTTCTCTTGCCATCTGTTCTCGAATTGTGAGTCTCTTTTCCATTTTCTGCTCTTTTCTGGAGAGTCTCTGAACTTCATCTTCGAGCTCACTGATTCTGTTCTCAGCCGCTCTTACTCTGCTGCTGAGGCCTTCCACTGAGCTTTTCAGGTCTGACATTTCTGATTGCATTTTCCTCATTTCTGCCTTCAGATCCTCTTGTCTTCTATTGGCATTGCTTTCCATTGTTTCTTTTAATTCCCTAAGCATCCTAAGTAGCTCCCTTCTGAATTCCTTGTCAGAGAGGTTGTCTAACACTACAGTACTGTTGGTGTCATCTGGGCTAGACTCTTCAATATGAAAGTTTGGTGGGATTTTGCGTTGCTTTACCATTGTGAGAGGTGTGGTTTAGTCCTTCACGTTCATTGTTACTATTCTGCTTGATATGCAGTGTGAGTTAAGATAGGCTTATGAGTTATTGGCTACTGTGTTTCTAGTGGTTGAGCTAAAATAGAGAAGTTTCCATCTAAGAAGGTAGCTTATGGTTCCTATGGCATACGTAGTGGGAAAATATTTCGCGGCCGCATTAGCGGCCGCGGCTCCGGAAAGAGTCCCTGGCATTGGGCGAGGAGTTGGGAACGTCTCCTGTTTGGAATTGGAGCCGTTCAGCTTTGTTGCCCAGAGCTGGGCCTCTGTGCCCATCCCACGCAGATCAGGGGTTGAAAACCGGCTTTCTAGGGGCTGGTTCTAGCTGCGCATGCCCAGAGAGGGACCCAGGCCCTTGGGGGCGGGCTGTACCTGTTGGAATTGGAGCCGTTCAGCTTTGTTGCCCAGAGCTGGGCCTCTGTGCCCGTCCCACGCAGATCAGGGGTTGAAAACCCTTAACAAGTTTTTTAAAACAGTCTGTGTTAAGCCAAGTAAGCTTGTATGTAAATAACATTTTAATCACAGAATACTGAACATTTTGAATTAGATTTATTTTAAATTAGTAACTAGCCAAAAGTATTGATAAATATGAAAATCAATTATTATTTGTGTAAAAATTTTAGAAGACTCTAAAAATATAATTAGTCTTTTTTTTTGTAATGAGATTATGAACAAGCTGGAGCGATAGCACAGCAGGTAGGGCATTGCCTTGTACCGGCCAAAACAGTCAACCCAGTCTCGATTCCTCTGCCCCTCTTGGAGAGCCCAGCAAGCTACCAAGAGTCTCTTGCCTGCACGGCAAAATCTGGCAAGCTACCAGTGACATATTTTATATGCCAAACACAGTAACAAGTGTCACAATGGAGACATTACTGGGTCCACTTGAGGAAATCGATGAACAACAGGAGGACAGTGACAGTGATTATGAACATTATTTGGAGTAGGTTATATTCTATATGCCTTAGGATCTCAAAATATGGAACTAAACAGCAGTTGAACTAGGCGGAGAATAAGGGTCATTTGGGAACAAGACACAAAGTATTTCTCAAGGTGAGCATATGAGTATGTTTATATCTGATTAATAGGTTTTTAAACCTGACAGTGAGACCCATATAAAACTGGTTTGGCTTTGTGCTTTTAGCTCTTCAGAGTTAACCCTAAGAATACATGAAATTTACATACAAGTGGTACTACATGGAAAGTATCATGCTAAGTGAAATGAGTCAGAGAGAGAGGGACAGACATAGAAAGATTGCATTCATCAGGGTAACATAAGGTAACAAAATAGGAGACTAACACCCAAGAATAGCCGAGATAAGTACTAGGCGGATTACTTCATGGCTTGGAGGCCAGCCGCACATGCTAGGGGAAAAGGCAGCTCAGATAGAGAAGGGAGCACCAAATAAAGGGTGTTGGGAGGTTCCTCTCAGGATGGAAAATGCGTGATGAGAGTAGACTATAGTCCGAACAAGATTGCCACTCAATATCTCTTTTGCAAACCACAGCACTCAAAAGGAGAGAGATAACTAAAGGGAATGCCCTGCCACAGTGGTAGGGTGGGATGGGGAATGGGGGGAAGAGGGGTGGGAGGGATACTGGGACTGGCGGTGTTGGAGAATGAGCACTGGTGGAGGGATGGGTATTCAATCATTGTATAACTGAAACCCAAGCACGAAAATTTGTAAGTCTGCAACTGTACCTCATGGTGTTTCACTAATAAAAATTTAAGAAAAAAAATAAGCCACAAATAATTTAATTAGAAGGTGAAGGTGAATAAATTTATCTCTTCTCTAGTGTTTGAAGTAATAGAATGGGAAGAATATTCAGTGGTGGAGAGGAAACAGCCCAGAAGAGGTCATCCTCAGCACACATCAAACTTAAGCTCTTTGGAAAGCTGTTCTTTCTCAGAGTGATTTGGTGTGTGAGTGTGGCGGGGAGGGTGGCAGGTGGGGAGGGGAGGGTATGACTGTATGTATCTGTATGTGATAGTCTCACATCATAGCATTGATAATTGTGTTGAGCAAAATGTTTCTGCTATGGAAGGAATTTACAGTTTCATTTCAAGATTCCATTTTTCATTAAATAATCTGTAATTATAGTTTCATTCAAATGTTTCAAGTGAAGAAAATGTCTGGTTTTATTTTACACACTCAAAAACAAATCTGTGACTAATAGGCTCCTCATTCTCTTTATCAATACTATAAAATACAGCTTATCTTACCTTTCTGGAACCTAAAGAAATTATTAGAACACATTCAGGAACTTCTTCCCTCAACATATGGATAAGCTGCCACTGTCTGCAGTTAACAAAAGAAGAATGTCTCAATACCTATAATCCAGTCCCTTTCAGCAAAATAAGGTATGTGGAGAAAAGGACATTAAGTCTGTTTCAATTATTTGGCCTCTTGAGGGTAAGCCTGAGGTCCCTTTGGCGAGGGAGGGTTCCTGGGTGTCCTGGGTATTTACAGTTCCTTGTAAGAACCCTAGAGACCAAATTAGTGATTATATTCAGTTTCCTGGCAAGTTATTTCCTTGTTGAATTGATATAATGATCACACCAAGCTATTTAAGGTGATTGTTGCATGTTTATTGGATCATATTATAGAAAACCATCATTCCTTGTGCGTGAAACTCTGAACACCCAGAAAGTTTCATTGAGCTGAATCTATTTCACTGACTGGAGAGTCATTTAGTTTATAATTTGATTCTATTACAATGTCTAATAGTAGAGTCCCCTTTCTTTATAATGGGTTCAAGAAGTAGATATCAATCAACAAAGCAAACATTATAACTCAATATCTGATGACATTAAATATCACTTGAAACTTTCTTTGAGTAAAAAATGAAACAGTAGCTATCAAAAATAATATATGAATATATACTCAATGAGTTCACTAATCAAAAACTTTAATATTAAAATTAACATACTTTAGGATAAGTTTAGAATTAAAAAAGTAATAAATAAAATAGCAAATAATTCTTATTGTTATGAGAATTATTTTATTCAAATTAAAATGGATTCACATATTCATAGCATTATCACAATCTGGTATTTATCCTAAATTATATTTTATACATGTCAGCTTTTTATAAGTATTACACAAAATAGACCAAAATAATTTATTAGTCATTTTTAATTTTAATTTTAATTTTAATTAATTTTTTATTTTTTATCTTCTAACTTGTCAATAAATGCAAAAAAAGTCAACAAAAAATCGAGACAAATTTTTCATAAAGGTTTTAAATCCACATATGCTTTTGTGTTTCTGATCTTGGAGAGTAAATGTTTTTCAGTAAATAATAAAAGAGATCTATAACTGTCATAATATGAGACAAGGAGGAAAGAAGTTGTTTCAAAGAATAAGAAATTAGAAATGAAAGTTTAGGTACACGAGTTGTCAAGATCATGAAATAGAAATCACAGATTAAATAAGAGTAAATATAAAGTATTTAACATCTTTGAAAAATTGATTGTATAAAACCTTATGTTGCTTTATCTATTATTAGAATTGTTGAAGTTTTAATTTTTAAAATATTAAATGTCCCAGATATTAGCACTGTAGCACTGTCCTCCCATTGTTCATAGATTTGCTCCAGCAGGCCCAGTAACGTCTCCATTGTGAGACTTGTTACTGTGTTTGGCATATGGAATACGTCACGGGTAGCTTGCCAGGCTTTGCTGTGTGGGTGAGATACTCTCAGTAGCTTGCCGGGCTCTCCGAGAGGGGTGGAGGAATTGAACCCGGGTCAGCCGTGTGCAAGGCAAATGCCCTACTGGCTGTGCTATCGCTCCAGCCCAAGTGAATTTGTAATCAACTTAATAAGCCAAGCATGCTTTAACTCACCTCAGTACTCAATTCCCTTAACTCGATTCAGGTCAGCCCAACTCAGCCCAAGTAGATGTAACTCAACTCAGTTCAGTTCCTTTGGATTGAGTTTTTTAAATGGAACCAAAGAGCTGAACTTAGCTCAGTTTCAATGCAGCATTTCCTGTGTCCAGAAACTCTGGTGACCGCTGTGGACAGGACAAGACCCCCACCCTTTCAAAGCTAATTGTCTGTTTTGGTCCTCTTCCTCAAAGTTGTATTGGGGTGTATTGTATACACATGTCACTACTGAGATCTCATTTACGTGCCTTTTTTAAAATGTTGAAATTGGTGATTTTTAGAATTTTTGGTTATGAAACTGTCATTGGGCTCTAATTTTAGAGCATTTCCTGGAGGAAGCCCCACACCGTTATTAATCCACCCCGTGGCAGCCACTAATTCACTTTTCAGTCTCTGTATATTTATTTACCTCTCCTGGCCGTATAAAAGGAAGGACTCACCACATGTCCTGTGTGTCTGGCTTTCTTCACTCTGCATGCTTTCCAAGCTCATCCACGTTGTAGCTTGTTACAACATTATTATTATTACATTATTACATTATATTATCACAATATCCCAGATATTACCTATTTTTTTTATTTAGGAGGGTAGAAGGTTTTTTTTATCCAGTAGGATGACATGTTTTAATAATTGTATACACACACGCACACATACGCACATACACCATAGGAGATAAGCCTTTAGCTTGATAAAATCCCATTTGTTTATTTTACTTTTGTTTCCTTGTCATGAAGACAAATCCCTGAATACATCACAGAAGTCATGGAGTCCGTTGCCTTCGTTTTCATAAATGCATTTTCTTGATTCATGCTTAACATCGAAGTCTAGTATGGTTTGAGCAATCTATATTTATATCCTTAGTGAGATGGTGGTTCAGCTTCATTTTTTTTTTTTGCTTTTTAGGTTACACCCTGAGATACACAGGGGTTACTCCTGACTTTGCACTCAGAAATTACTCCTGGCGGTGCTTGGGGTCCATATGGAATGCTGGGAATTGAACCTGGGTTGTCCGCGTACAATGCAAACACCCTACCCGCTGTACTATCCCTCCAGCCCCCAGCTTCATTCTTTAGCATGTGACTAGCCCGTTTGTACATCACCATCAGCTAAAGAGATGTTTCTTCTTCACTTACTACTCAGCTATTTTGTTGTATATGAACTGTCTATATTTCTGATGGCTTCTTTATCACTGTATCACTGTTATCCTGTTGTTCATCGATTGCCTCGAGCAGGCACCAGTAACGTCTCCTTCATCCTAGCCCTGAGATTTTAGAAAGTGCCACATTCGAGGTTCTTTCAGGATCAGGAGAATGAGATCCATCATTGTTACTGGTTTTTGGCATATTGAGTACGCCACGGGGAGTCTGCCAGACTCGGTCGTGTGGGCAGGATACTTTTGGTAGCCTGCCAGGTTCTCCAGAGTAAGAACTAGATGATAAGATGCTTCCGGGAGCTGGGTTTTTTTTTAATAAGCTCTTAATTTTAATCCATTATTTTGAGTGTTTGCAGTGGCTCCAAACCACATTGTTCTGATTGCAAACTATAACATGGTCTAACTCACAACTAAATACCTCTCATGTTTTACTTTTCTCAGAATTTCTTTTACGTACTGGAGAATCTCTTGTGTCACACATTGCTATATGCCTAGCAATATGCCATTGGAATTTTGATAGGGCTTAACTGCATTGAGTCTATTTAGTAATTTGCATCTACTCTATTAAATTATTTTTTTGTTTCTAATGGAATTTAGTGATGCATTAAGTGATGTTATATTATTTAATTTAGCACAATAAGAGTAACATAAGAATAAGAATAACATAAGAATAATTTGTCCTCCAACCCCCTTTTCAGGAAAAATAGTAAGATAACTAGTTAGTACCCTGGAAATCGACCATTTTTTAGTGTACAGACAGAAATGGCATGAGAGACTGGGACTCCTACTTGTCCCAGGCTGTTACTCATACACACTGGTGCTCACAGGCACGCCAGCATCTGCAGTGTTGGGGAAGCACCGCTTTCTTGGAGAAACAGTTAAGAATAAGAGTTGGCCAAAGAATGAAAAGGGTGTAACAAATTTGGACAAGCAAGTCTTCAGTTGCTCATTCAAACATTTCCTTTTCTTTTTCTTTTATCTGGGGTGTGGGTGGGCGCACACTGAACAGTGCTCAGGCCCTACTCCTGCCTGTTCTGCACTTGGGGTCACTCCTGGCACCACTCAGGCAACCGTATGGGTTCCCTGGGATTTGACCACATGCATGACAAATGGCTACCTGCTATACTATTGTTTTTCCTACTACTCAATAATAAAAAAGAAAACTGCTGAATGGATTATCTACTTAACGTAGCAGGATGGAAATCTTCAAGTACATCACAAAGTTCGATGCACACCAAGGATTACATCAATCTTCTTGATGTTTACTAACTGAAGGAATGGTTGAAACAAAATTAAATGAACAAAGAAAACTTGATGAAAAAAATCTAAGAATTCAAAGAGAAATTTAAGGTGCTAAAGAATATAGTGAAAGGACTCAACAGTGGCTGAATGAAAGAAGCAGAAAATTAAATCGTGACCTCAAAAACAAGGCACAGGACACCATCATATAGATTAGGTCATAGTCAATAATACGGGGTCAGAGAGATCATAAAGTGACTTGAGCACTTCCTTTGTATACAGTCAACCCAAGTTCAGTCCCAGCACCCCATATGAACACAGAGCCAGGAGTCAGCCCTGAGCAGAGCTGAGTGTGGTCCACAAACAAATTCAAAACCTGTATCTAAGTAGGTATATTTCTATATATTTAACTGTAGATAGTATATATATATGCATACAATATATTTCTCATAAGACAGTTTTTCCTATAACCAGTTCTATACTTATATGCAGTGTCCAGAGTCCTATGTTACAAAGTATATTTTTGGGTTGTCTCTCATGCCAGGACAAATAGACATGAATCAAAAAAACAGGTATGCTTTACTTCTCTTAAAAACCATCCTAATAGCTGTTTTCATTGCTTTGTTTCTTAGGCTATAGATCAATGGATTGAGTGTTGGGGGCACAATAGAATAAAAAATAGTGAGTACAATGTCGAGAGCTGATGGATTGTCAGAATGAGGTTTTAAGAACTCAAAGAAACCTGTACAAGCAAATAAAATGACAACAGCAAGGTGGGGAATGCATGTGGAAAAAGCCTTAGTTCTGCCCTCAGCAGATGGGATCCTCAGCACAGAAGAAAATATTCGCACATAGGAGCAACCAATAAAGGTGATACAGCCAAATGATAACAGAGCAATGAATACTGTAACCCCAATCTCCCTGAGATAGTCATTAGAACAGGAGAGTCTCAGGAGCTGGGGAATATCACAGAAGAACTGGTGAATGATGCGGGGGCCACAAAACTGGATGGAGAAAGTAGCTGCCGTATGCATGACTCCAGAGAGGGTCCCGCTGATCCAGACACCGGCGATCCCATGGACACAGGTTCTGACATTCATGATGACATCATAGTGTAGGGGAAGGCAGATGGCCACATAACGATCATAGGACATCAATGTGAGCATCGCCATCTCAGCAGAACTACAGGTAATCAAAGTAAAGCACTGCACTATGCATTCCCAGAGGGAAATAGTTCCACTTTGTATGAAAGAGTTGTAAATAAATTTTGGCACAGTCACGGAAATGTAACAGAGATCCAACAAGGAGAGATGCTTCAGGAAGAAATACATGGGGGACTGGAGACTGTCATCCAGGGAAGTTGTGGTGATGATGAGCATGTTGCCAGTTAAAGCCAACACGTATAAGACCAAGAACAGAGAAGCATACAAGAGTTCTTGTTCAGGTTTGGCAGAAAATCCCAAGAGAAGAAATCCACTCACGTTGAAATTATGCATAGTCCTTGACTTCTTATTGTGCTTGACTAGAAGACAACATGGAATTTTTGAAGAAAAATTGATTTTGTAACATTAGTCTAAAGCATGAACTTTGGGTAAGAAGTCAGAATCAAAACTTTTCCTTTAGAAATGTGAGAGGTTTTGTATAATGATAACCATTAAAATTAAGCTACTTTGTCTATTAGTAGTAGATATTGGTTATGGTAAATTATGCAGTTTAGCTCTGATATTTCAATTTTACAAATGAAAACTGCATAGGATCCTCGGGCATAGGTTAAAAAGAAGCAAAGTTCAGGAGTGGGGACAGAGCATAAAACATTTTTTGGTCACAGATTTTGGATAAACATGACCTTGTTTCATTTTTTGTTTTTCACTCGGGATTTTTGGAATTACTGTTTTTATTTTGTTTGTTTGGTTCATTTGTATGTTTGCTATTATCAACTCCCAGCTCTGTTCTCAGGGGTTGCTGAGAACCAGCTGTGCAGAAGCAGAGTGTGAGATTCCTGCTTGCAGAGCACTGAGACTCCTCCTTCATTTGATTCCTTGCACAAAGCAGTTTCTGAGCACTACGAAGTGAGCCATGGAGAAGTTTCAAGTGCTGCCAGACTGAATCTGGTCATCCCCAGCATGACAGGATCCTAGTTTCTCCATTTTGGGACCCAGCTTTGAACTGCAACTGTGTTTTGCAATATACCAGAAAGGTGGACCAGGGGTCCCCTCAGCAATGTTGGGGTTCTTCAAACCCTCATATACCAAATAAATATATATTTATATATACACATATATATCCATATATAGATACATGCACATAAAAATAAAACCACCAAGAAAGTACCTGGAGCTTGCCTTGCATATAGTCGACGCCACTTAGGTCTCTTGTATCACCTGCTCCCTGCCCCCACAAGCATTGCTGGTCCAGAGGTCCCTGAACATTCCTGGGTGGCATAGGTGCTCCCTGGCACTCGAAGCCCACAGCACCTCACTCTCAGGCCCTAGAATGGAGCAGCTGCCCCTGTGTGCGAGAGTCACTGGGAGAGGTTGAGGCCCCTTGAGAACTGCTGGCAACTGGCCTCTCCATCCAAAGTGTTATTCAGTTCAATACAACACTTAGAAATAAGCTTCTAAGATCTCCATCACTATCATCAACTGTCCTAAGTATACATTACTAGGACCACACAGCAGTTCATTTTAGGGGGTTTATAATATTATCGTGCATGAGGGCAAAAGTTCCTGATGCTTTTTCTTCTTACTCAATATTTTTCCTTGCAATGCCAGCTGCTTGGACTCTTAGTTGGAAACATAGGACCAAACAGCAAAACCAGCCTTAGATGCTAGTAAAAATCTGTGATTGCCTGAGAGAAAGGGAAGGAAGGTAGAAGGTGAGAATGGAAGGTACAGCTAAAGTGTGTGAAACTCTCATCTCAAAGTTCCAGAGTATGTAAGCCAGTGAACACACAAAATGTCAAGAGATAAAAATGAACAATGAATGTTTTTCTCCAGCAAAATGTCTTATTTTGCTATCTGCTTTTATCTTGTGTTAGGTCACCAGTGCTTGTGGATCACTTATAACTCTGTGCTTGGATGTTGATCTCTGAAGTGCTGGTGGAACCCCCAGTTTCCTGCTGAAAAGCCCGTGCTCAGCCTGTGTCTATTGATATGACCTACACAGGCACATTTATATGCTCATAACATTGTGGTTAACATAAAGCATCACGTTCTTGTCCTGAAAACCTAAATTTCCAGTCTGAAAGCATGAAATAACATCTCATTTATTGTTAAAAGATATAAATATTGCTGAAATAAACTTAAAAATTAGTTTTCAAGCTTTCATTTGAATATGATATCAGTTATGAAATATCATTTTCACCTAACATGTATAAAATTGTTTATAATGATCGCTCTCAAATTTATATACTGAATGGTATTAATTATTGAGAATGTAACCTAAACATACAAATAGTACATACATACAAATAGTAAATTTTGTGTGTGTTCTCTAGAAAACAGTCTATAGTTTAATCAAATTTGTTTCTAAATGAAACTTAAGACTCCAAATAATCAATACTGAAGAATATTTTATCTATTTAAAATTGGTTCACTAGCAAAATCCATTAAGAAATCCTAAAACTATGAAAAATTCCTTATATGGAAAGATTTCAGAAGGTTCTGAAAATAGGATTCTGAATTATTTTTTCTGAAATGGTATTATGATCACACTTAGGATTATATTATATTATTTCTATATACAGATTTTTTAAGCTCTCAAAATATTCAATTAGATAGGAATGGAATTGGTTTAGACTATAAGGAAATAAGACCAATAGCAACTAATTATTTCTTTTTATTTCTGAGTGTATTTTTATGTCTGTTGCTGAACTGGAAGACTGGTTAAATCTGAGATTGATGGAGAGAAATTATCCCAGAAGAGGTGGTTCCAGCACAGATCAAAGCTAACCTCTTGCACATTTGTTCATTGTTGGGGTGATTGTGTTTGTGCATGTGTGTGGTTGTGCAATTCTGTGTACATTTAAGTGAAAGGTACCGAATAAAAAGTGACTGATAGGGAATAGATCATTTTACTCTAGAATATGTTTCTGGAGCCTAATGAACAGCCAGGTATGTTACTGCATTGATGAAGCACGTGGGGCTTCATGTGATGGGGGGTGGGATCGGCCCTGCTCTCCGCCATGACAATGGTCTGGGTTGCCACCCTCAAATGCCTCCTCTGGCTTCTGACAGACCATGAACCCAGAGGCACACATATCAATCTCGGAACCCAGCTTCTGGCAGTAATCCCTCTAGGTTTATTACTAAAATATTAGAAATCTAAATTTGGGTGGCCACTATATTGGCCACACAACATCATATGCTCTTCATAACCAACATTAGAAAACAAATTTTCTAATGATATCTTTGTGGCAGGTCTGAATGTTGGGGCAAATTTCAAATAACAATACTGGATTTTTTGTCGTAATATTGAATGTGATCAACAGGGAGAGAGAGAGAGAGAGAGAGAGAGAGAGAGAGAGAGAGAGAGAGAGAGAGAGAGAGAGAGAGAGAGTAAAGTGGAAATCTGCCACACAGGTCGAGGGTGGGTGGGAGGGAGGGTATACTGGGGTTTTTGGTAGTGGAAAATGTGCACTGGTGAAGGGATAGGTGTTTGATCATTGTATGACCAACTGAGACTAGAACTGAAAGGCTTTGTTACTGTTCTCATGGTGATTCAACAAATAAATTAAAAATATATATTAAAAAAAAGAAAAGGTTTCTGGAATGGAAGGAGTTTCTCTTTTTATATCTAATTAAAATGTTGTAAATTTATGTAGTTTAATTCACAATTTTCAAATAAAGATGTGCTTCTTTTTATACTGTCAAATCTGTTATTTGTTGCATTTCACTTTACTTTATAATCAATCTTTCTAGAATCTAAGAAAATTCGCCAGAGCACCCCCAGAAATTTCTTACCTCATCATAAGGACAAGCTGTCAGTCTCAGAAGCCAACAGTCACTTAGATGAAAGTCTTGTCTCGGCCATCCAGTTCCTTTGACTAAAATGCAGTTTGTGGGGTGTATAACATGAGTCCATTTCAGTTCTTTGGCCATTTGGGCTTAGGGATAAAGTCCCATTGGCAGCATTAGAGATTCTGGGTTCTCTGGGTATTGGCAATTCTGTGTAATACCCTGGGGTCCAAACTTGCAATTCTAATGGGTTTTCTTGAAGTACATTTTTCTGCTGAAGTATTTTAATGACCTAGTTACTGGAAGTAGAGCTTTATTTGCATTCTCTAATCATATAATAAAAACAAATACCATATCTTAATTTCAGAAATCAAGAGCAATGAATTAATATATTTTAAGCAATTGTATTAACTGGATGTTCATTCAACTCATAATTTAATCTTGGTATAATATCCAAACCTGTCATTACCTTTTGTTTAAAACAGAGATAAAAAACCATTTGTTTGCTTACAATGAAGCAAAGTAATATCCTAGTCTTTAAAAAGTGGTGTTTAATATATTTTTTAGTAAAGGTTATAACAGTATTAAAATTTATAGTTTCAATGAACAAAGTTATTACACCCCATCATCTATCAAATGTCCAACATTTTTCACCACTGTCCCTTGTCACCTGTGGTCTACCTCTATCTTCCACTCTATCTGCTCCTCCACTGTTTTATAATCTTAATTTTTCTCTGTAATTGTTCAATACTATTCAGTTCTGTTCAATATTCTTGATTTATCCTTCTATATATATCACAGATAAGTAAGATCATCTGGTATTTGTCTTTTGCCCTCTGACTTATCTCACTTAACAAGACACCTTCCAATTCCATTGACATTGTAGCCCACTACATGATTTTATCATTTCCTAAAGCTGCATAGTATTGCATTGTGTATCTATAGTAAATTCTATATCCATTCATCAGTTCATTGGTGATTTGGGTTGTCTCCACATCTGGACTATTACACCAAAGATTGTGATTAACTAGCTATGCATAGTTTTGAATGTTAATATTTTGTTTTGTTTTATTTAATTTTTTTTAGTTTGGGATTTAGATGCCCAGAGTTGAATCGTCCTTATGGAGGTCTATGCTTAATTTATGAGAAATTTCCATGTTTCTATAGAGATGAATCACACCACATTCCCACCAATAGTATAAGAAGTTTCCTTTATTATCATACCCCAGTCACTGCGTATTTTCTATATATATCTAGATATTTAGATAGGTAGATAGACTGTTCTCATTGGTATTAGATGTTATCTCTCTATTACTTGGTTTTGCATTTCCATGATAATAGTAGCTGGTGAACACTTTTTCAAAAGTTTTCTTCAGGGAATGTTTATCTTTCCACCAAATTTTGATAATATTTTTGGTGTTTCTATTTTAGATAATTGTGAGATATTTATGTGTTTTGTATGTTAGCCGGTATCTCTTTATTGTGTGCACATATTTTCTCACATTTATGGGAGTCTTTTAGTATTATCCTGGGTTTCCTTGACCATGTGAAATCATTTACATTTGATGTAGTCCATTTCTTCAGTTTTGTTTTTCTTATTCCTGCCACTTTTGTCAAGTTATTGACATCAGTTATGACACTGATGTCAAGTTATATACTTCCAAGATTTATATCCTAGAGTTATAATTATGCTTTTCTTGATACATATTTTATGAATTCCTTTCTAGTACCTTTTAAAAATCATATTTAATGGCTAAAGAGGGAAAGCTTTCCTTCTAAGATCAAGGCACAAACAATGCTCCCTTTCTTCATTTGTGATCAGTAATATTAGTAGGCCATGGCAATAAGGCATGAAAAAGAAATCAAAGGCATCCAAATTTGAAAAAGACAAAGTTAAATAGCACTCTTTGCATATAACTTGCTAATTAGCACTGTCCTGTTAGTGCTGTCCTCCAATTCATAAAATTGCTTGAGTGGGTACCAGTATGACCTCCACTGTGAAACTAGTTACTGTTTTTGGCATATCAAATATGCCATGGGGAGCTTGCCAGGCTCTGTCATGTGGGTAGGATACTCTCGGTAGCTTGCTGGGCTCTCTGAGAGGGACAGAGGAATCGAACCTGGGTCAGTCACGTGCAAGGCAAACACCCTACCCACAGTGCGATTGCTCCAGCCAGACTTGCTAATAGGCATAGAAAACCCTCAAACTCCACAACAAAAAACCTTTTAATAAAAAATGAATCAACACTGCAATGTTGCAGGTGATAAAATTAATACTCAAAAGTTGCTTGCATTATTATACAAGATTATCCCCTTTTTATAGTGCCCAAACATAGAGACCTAAAAAAGTCAACAGCATATACAAAAGACTTCTATACACCATACTATAAGTCTCCACTGAAGGAAACAGAAGAGAATACTAGGAATTAGAAAAATATTCCATGTCCATGGACTGTTTAGATTGCCAAAAATGACCATCCTGACACATGCACACTATTATTCATTGCTGCACTCAATCCAATGGCTAAGATACGGAATCAATTTAGGTGTCCAATGACAGATGAATGGATTTTAAAGATATGGTAGAATACTATGCAGCTATAAGAAGTGTTGAAATCATGCAATTATCTGTGATTGGAACTGGAAGATCTCATGTTGAGTGGTGCAAGCCAGAAGAAGAGAGACAAACACAGGAAAATCTCACTTGTCTGAGGTATAAAGAATACTGAATGAGGAAAAGTACTACAGAAAAAGGAGATGTGCCAAGATCATCTTTGACCCTAGTTTTTAGAGAGGAAAAGGACAGAGAAGAAAAGAATTCAAGGAGGTTAGAAGAGAAAAGGATGCAGTGGGCGAGCTAACATCAGAGTTTCAGAAATATGTGGGAATGGTGTAGCCATATGCCCCTCCCCCCATGACATAGACTAAACAAAAATAAAAATATGAGATCTCAGTTATAACCACTAAAAGGTTGTAGTGTGCCTGTCAAGTTGACAGCAGGGGTAGGGTGCGGATTGGAGTGGGGAGGGAATATGGGAACACTGATGAGATATCTAAAGCTTACACGGTTATAGAAAAATCTGAGTACCTCAGAGATTCTAGAAGAACAGAGTTAGAAAAATTAGAATACTAGAATAAACAAGGACCGTAAAGCTGCAGTGAATGGCAGAGTTTGACCTCAGTATCAACAGTTTTTCATAATCTCCTCATCGGCCACCCTCCAGATCTCAAGATGCTCCTCCCAGACGGGAGTATAAAATGAGGCTCCCAGAACCATGCCACTGGCCTCCATGTCAGGCTGTGGGGAGGGTGAGAGCCTTCCCCACCCCAAGGGACCCAGCCCCGGCAGCCAACCTCCACTACTCAATCACCACCACGCTCCAGGCTGCTTGTGGCCACGCAACACATTATAAGACACTTCATACCCATTTTCCACAATTACTACACTATATCTGATGGGGTTCAGACAGTAGACAACAAATCATAGAGAAAAATATATAAATATATGCCTTTTGGAGAGCCCGGCAAGCTACCGAGAGTATCCCGCCCACACAGGCAGAGCCTGGCAAGCTCCCTCTGCGTATTTGATATGACAAAATACAGTTAAGACAGCAAGTCTCATTTCCCTGACCCTGAAAGAGCCTCCAATCATTGGGAAAAGACGAGTAAGAAGAGGCTGCTAAAATCTCAGGGCTGGAAGGAATAGAGACGTTACTGGCACTGCTCTAGTATTTCGATGATCAACAGGATGACAGTGATACAGTGATAAACAGTTTAGTTGAACAGACTAGTAACTCCCATACCTATATTGTTCTATGATTTATGACAAGGTGTCCCTAAAATTCACTGAAAAAAAATTACATAACCAATGTTACTGAGTCAGTTGTCTTTGTGAATTAAATGAACTACATTCTACCTTAACCCGTGGAAAAATTTACTTTATTGTGGGTTATAGAATTCACAGAAGAATAATAAAGGTTTTACTCTAAATGTCAAAATTTTCCCTTCTATCACTTTGCATTTTTCTTAGACATTCTCTTTGTAAATTTAATTATAGGCATAATCAAATATGTGTTATATTTTTAAATGTGGTGTCTTTTAATTTTATGAATCTCTTAAGTGCTTAAACTTATTTATTTTTGTTTTCTATTTTAATTATAAATGTCTATTCTTCAGAGCCCAGAAACGAGATAAATGCATGCTTTGTGTCGTGTTAAGTGGCATACTTTGCTCTCTCCCATGACTCAACTTCTGATTTTTGTTCTCTTCAGAATGATTATTTTTTCATTTTTGTTTATTTGCTTATTTTGTGGATAATCATATTTTTACATTTGAAAACTTAATCATTAAAATTCAATTAATTTGTATTTCATTCTCATAATGTTAATGAATTCAATTCAATTTTAATTTTGATCAGAGTATATTTGGATATGTAAGCATACAAATTTGATTTATTAAAAAGTAGAAAGTTATAATAGTGTTAAAATGTGTGGTACTGATATATAAACTACTACACCCCACCATATTAATTTACTTATTAAAATCATCCTTCCTTTTTATTGGCATATATCTCTATATTGATATTATTTTATATTTCTGTTATCATGTATTCATTTGACAATTTAAAAGCGTTCATATTAGAGGCTCTCACAGATTACATTTTATGTAAACATTTCTTTCCCAAGGGTTGTAAATTAATCCATATCTGAAGAGGCAAAAGTAAGTGGAAAATGAAACTTTTGATATCACCTCAACATATCTGATTGGCAGCTGACAGTGTTGATTGAATACTACTGAAGCTCCAAATGGCCCAAAATACTGAGAATTAGGGCATGTTTCTGTCAATTCTTACATCAGACAATATTATTGTATGCTATTTTACATAAACGAGAAATGACACTAATGTATATTGCTTATAGAACAATAAGCAATTAATCCTATATTTGGTATTTTCCACCATCATCACGCAAAACGATTGGGAAAAAAAATCTAGTCGACATCTTAAACATCATAAAGTTTACATTATTTTCACAGCCAGTTTGTGTAGTAAGATTTTAAGATATTCACAAGAGTAATTTTTAAAGTAGTATATATGTAGTCCTAGTTCTAAGTAATTTTATTTTTCAAGTAGCACAAAAAATTGTGCAAATCACAAAATACTACAATTTTAATCTATTGATTGGTTCAAACACTATTTTGAATTGGTCTCACAATTGAGAATGAATAGAATTAAGTGTCTCAACAAAAGAGGTACGCTACTCTTCTTTGAAAAAGCTTACTTATAGCCAACTTGATAGCTTTATTTCGCAGGCTATAGATGATTGGATTAAAAGTTGGGGGAACAATTGTGTAAAGAACAGTAAGAAAAATATCTAGAGGAGTTGGAGAGTCGGAATGAGGCTTCAAAAACTCAAACACACTAGTAGAAATAAATAATAAGACAACAGCAAGGTGGGGGAGGCAAGTGGAAAAGGCCTTGGCTCTGCCCTCCGCAGATGGCATCCTCAGAACAAAAGAAAAAATGTGCACGTAGGAGAACCCAATAAAGATGACACAAAGAAATGCCAGCACAGCCACGAAGGCAGTGACACCGATCTCACCCAGGTACTCATTAGAACAGGAGAGTTTCAGGATCTGGGGGATATCACAGAAGAACTGGTGAATGATGCGGGGGCCACAGAAGTGGATGGAGAAAGTAGCTGCCGTGTGCATGGCTCCAGAGAGGGTCCCACTGACCCAGACACCAGCGACTCCTTGGACACAGGTTCTGACGTCCATGATGACGTCATAGTGCAGGGGCAGGCAGATGGCCACGTAGCGGTCATAGGACATCACTGTGAGCATGGCCATCTCGGCCACAGCACAGAGAGTGAACACAAAGCACTGCATGATGCACTCCCAGAGGGAGATATTCCCACTGTGTGTAAAAGAGTTGTAAATGAATCTGGGCACAGTCACAGAAATGTAGCAGAGATCCAACAAGGAGAGATGCTTCAGGAAGAAATACATGGGGGACTGGAGACTGTCATCCAGGGACGCTGTGGTGATGATGAGCATGTTGCCTGTCAACGCCAACAAATACAGGACTAAGAACAGGGAAGCATAGAAGATTTCTAGCTCAGGTGTGGCAGAAAACCCCAGGAGAAGAAACCCGCTCGTGGTGAAATTCGTCATAGTTTTGCTATTGGCTGCAAGACAAGATAGACAATCTTAAATAGATGTTTTTAATCACATCAATGAAGAACCTGAATATGTCGTGAAGAACTTCTTCACTGTAATTATGGAGATGTCTTATATAGTGGTAACCATCGTAACAAATTTGCTTTATCTTAGTGATGGAACAAAAATTGACTATGGAGATCATGAGTGTTAAAATTTCCATTTCAGTTTAAAACAGAAAAAAAAAACCTAAGAAAAGGGTCAGCTATAGATTAGTATTGTAGCACTGTCCTCCATTGTTCATCTATTTGCTCGAGTGGCCACCAGTAAGGTCTCCATCGTGGGACTTGTTATTGTTTTTGGCATATCAAATACACCACGGAGAGCTTTCCAGGGGATACGCTCTGTAGTTTGCCGGGATCTCTGAGAGGGATGGAGGAATTGAACGTGGGTCGGCTGTATGCAAGGCAGAATTGAAGGAATTGAACCCGGTCTGCCCTACCCACTGTGCTATCGTTCTAGTCCAAACTATAGAGTACAAAGGTTAAATCATATGCTTTTCAAGTATCCAAAATGGTCTTATGTTTTGTTTTTTGTTTTTTCGGTTTTTTGGTTTGTTTGGTTTTAGAGCAGTCCCAGTGATGTTGGTGGCCACTCCCAGCTCTCTTACAGGGGTTTCTGAGAATCAGCTGTGCAGGAACAAAACTTGGGGTTTCTGCATTCAAAACACGCTCTTGCCCCCAACTGAATTCGATCCCTTGCACTAGCCGGTTTCTGAACATTGCCAATGAGCCCTGGAGACTCTTGAGCACTGCCAGACTGGATCCATGCATCCACAACATGACAGGAACCTGGGGACACCTCACTCTTGGGCCCGAGCTCTGAACTGCCAGCCTGGTTAGCAGGCTGATATTGATATTCTTATCATGGGATTGGTCCAGGGATCGCCTGAACACGTATTGGATAGTTTCTGCTCTCCCTAAATGAAAACAAAAATATTCACATAAAAATAAACATATAGGTACAGAACTGAGAGCTTGCCTTGATGTACCAGATCCTTATCAGGTCCCTGGTACCACATGCCCCCCCACACCCCAAGCATTGCTGGTCCTGAGGCCCATGAGCATTCTTGGGGGCATAGTTGCTCCCTGCCTCTGGAGGACCTGGCAGACTGCACTGTCAGGCCCCATTAAAGGGATTGATAGGCAAGAAAGTAATCTTTTCTTATTTTTTTTTCGAGTTCAAGGCAAATGTCCTACCCTCTGTGCTCCAGAAAGTAATCATTTTATTCTAAAAATGTTTCTGGAATGGAAGGAGTTTCTCTTCCTATTTTTAATTAACAATGTGAATTTATGTATTTTTGCTTAAAATTCTCAAGTAAAGATATGATTCTTTTTAGGCCCTCAAAATCTGTCTTTTATTTCTATTCCATTTTACAACACAGCCTGTTTTCTACAACCAAGGAAAGTCACTAGAGCACACCTAGAAATGTCTTACCTCGTCATAGGGACAAGCTGTCAGTCTCAGAAGCCAAAACTTAGTTGGAAGTCATATCTGAGCCACTCAGTTCCTTTCACTAAAATGTAGAGAGGAAAACACGAGTCAATTTCAATCGTTTGGCCATTTGGGGTTAGGTGGAATGTGCCTTTGTCAGCAGCAGAGATCCTCGGTGATCTGGGGATTGGCAATTCTGTGCAACACCCTGGGGTCCAAACTTGCAATTCTGTTGGGTTTTCTTGCAAGACATTTTTCTGTTGAAGTGATTTTAATGATCACACCTAGTTACTGGAAGTACAGCTTTATTTCTTTTCATTGAATCACATCATAACTGCATTGTAAGTTGTGTTTTGACTGCAGAATGTGCTACAAGGGAAATTATTTTCTTTAATTTTATTGACTGGATTATAATTTAATTTATAAATTGACTATAGGAGAATGTCTAAGCTTGGAATTGCCTTTATTTTAAATAGGGGTAAATATGAATCGTTTACTGCCAATTCAGCAAGGAAGTATCCCAGTGTTTGTTAATTTTAATATTTTATATTTAGGTTAGGTAACATGGTTTTAGGAGTATAGTAGTGTAGTAGTTCAATGCATTAATATGCAAACTTAGTGCACCCCACCAAAGAACCCAAGCAAGGTATTCAAGATTCTCCACCACTGTCTCTATGTGACCTGTAATCTGTCTTTTCTTTCTCCATCTCTTCTCCCCACTTTCTGGTAATCTAAGTTTCATAATGAAAGGCCTAAGGTTTGTGATTGTTCAATCTTATCCAGTATTATCCAACACTCTTGATTGTCTTACATACACCACAGGAAAGTGAGATCAACTGGTATTTGCCATATACCTTCTGACTTATTTTACTTAGCATAACTTCCAATTCTATGATTTCACCAGTTCTTATAACTGCACAGGACTGCATTATCTATATAATAACTTCTGTATCTATTCATCTGTAATTGAACAGTTAAGTTATTTCCAAATCCTGTCTATTGTATTAAGAATTTTAATAAATGTAGCTGTGCATAGTTTTAACTTTAATGTCTTTTGTTTGGGGCGGTAGATGCCCAGAAGTTGAATTGCTGGATAATATTGGGAATTTATTCTCACATTTTTGAGAACTATTCAAAATGCATTTCATAGATACTAAAACAGGCAACATGCCAACCAACAGAGAACGAGAGTTCCTTTACCCCAGCACTGGATTAGTCGATTGCCTCGAGCAGGCCCCAGTAACGTCTCTTTCATCCTTGCCCTGAGATTATATTCAAGGCTATTTAGGAGAATGAGACCCATCATTGTTACTGGTATTTGGCATATTTGGTACGCCACGGGGAGTTTGCCAGACTCTGCCCTGTGGGCAGGTTACATTCGATTGCCTGCAAGTTTGTCCAAAGTAGGAATAAGACAATAAGATGCCATAAAAAAAAAAGTTCTGTTAAGATGTCGCGCGGCCGCGAATGTGGCCGCGCGGTTCCGGGATCTGGATTTTATAGTCTCTGAGTCTTGGCCGCTGATGGGATTACACGGCGCCAGGGGGCCAGGTGGTGGGTGTGACCCCCGCCTACTGGAATTTGGAGGATCTGGGTGGAAGATGCTCGACTCCAATTCGAGTAGGCTTGGAGGTCTCGGCCCCGGAACCCGCGTGGCTTTGTCCCTCTGCCAGTACCTTCATGTGTGCGGAGAGTGGTCTCAGCATGGTGGTGGCTGGTCCTGGAGGTCTTGGGCTGCCGGAGCCCTGGTCGGGGCGGGGAGGAAAGCTCAACCCGCTCCCCTCCAAGGTACTCCAGGAAGGAACACCCAGGCGCGGGGGCAGAGACTGCACTGTTCTCGTCCGGGATCTGGATTTTATAGTCTCTGAGTCTTGGCCGCTGATGCGATTACACGGCGCCAGGGGGCTAGGTGGTGGGTGTTACCCCCGCCTACTGGAATTTGGAGGATCTGGATGGAAGATGCTCGACTCCAATTCGAGTAGGCTTGGAGGTCTCGGCCCCGGAACCCGCGTGGTTTTGTCCCTCTGCCAGTATTTTCATGTGTGCGGAGAGTGGTCTCAGCATGGTGGTGGCTGGTCCTGGAGGTCTTCGGCTGCCGGAGCCCTGGTCGGGGCGGGGAGGAAAGCTCAACCCGCTCCCCTCCAAGGGACTCCAGGAAGGAACACCCAGGCGCGGGGGCAGAGACTGCACTGTTCTCCTCCGGGACCTGGATTTTATAGTCTCTGAGTCTTGGCCGCTGATGGGATTACACGGCGCCAGGGGGCCAGGTGTTGGGTGTGACCCCCGCCTACTGGAATTTGGAGGATCTGGGTGGAAGATGCTCGACTGCAATTCGAGTAGGCTTGGAGGTCTCGGCCCCGGAACCCGCGTGGATTTTTCCCTCTGCCAGTACCTTCATGTGTGCGGAGAGTGGTCTCAGCATGGTGGTGGCTGGTCCTGGAGGTCTTGGGCTGCCGGAGCCCTGGTCGGGGCGGGGAGGAAAGCTCAACCCGCTCCCCTCCCAGGGACTCCAGATAGGAACACCCAGGCGCGGGGGCAGAGACTGCACTGTTCTCGTCCGGGGTCTGGATTTTATAGTCTCTGAGTCTTGGCCGCTGATGGGATTACACGGCGCCAGGGGGCCAGGTGGTGGGTGTGACCCTCGCCTTCTGGAATTTGGAGTATATGGGTGGAAGATGCTCGACTCCAATTCGAGTAGGCTTGGAGGTCTCGGCCCCGGACCCCGCGTGGCTTTGTCCCTCTGCCAGTACCTTCATGTGTGCGGAGAGTGGTCTCAGCATGGTGGTGGCTGGTCCTGGAGGTCTTGGGCTGCCGGAGCCCTGGTCGGGGCGGGGAGGAAAGCTCAACCCGCTCCCCTCCAAGGGACTCCAGGAAGGAACACCCAGGCGCGGGGGCAGGGACTGCACTGTTCTCGTCCGGGATCTGGATTTTATAGTCTCTGAGTCTTGGCCGCTGATGGGATTACACGGCGCCAGGGGGCCAGGTGGTGGGTGTGACCCCCGCCTACTGGAATTTGGAGGATCTGGGTGGAAGATGCTTGACTCCAATTCGAGTAGGCTTGGAGGTCTCGGCCCCGGAACCCGCGTGGCTTTGTCCCTCTGCCAGTACCTTCATGTGTGCGGAGAGTGGTCTCAGCATGGTGGTGGCTGGTACTGGAGGTCTTGGGCTGCCGGAGCCCTGGTCGGGGCGGGGAGGAAAGCTCAACCCGCTCCCCTCCCAGGGACTCCAGATAGGAACACCCAGGCGTGGGGGCAGAGACTGCACTGTTCTCGTCCGGGATCTGGATTTTATAGTCTCTGAGTCTTGGCCGCTGATGAGATTACACGGGGCCAGGGGGCCAGGTGGTGGGTGTGACCCCCGCCTCCTGGAATTTGGAGGATCTGGGTGGAAGATGCTCGACTCCAATTCGAGTAGACTTGGAGGTCTCGGCCCCGGAACCCGCGTGGCTTTGTCCCTCTGCCAGTACCTTCATGTGTGCGGAGAGTGGTCTCAGCATGGTGGTGGCTGGTCCTGGAGGTCTT